CTTATTAATTTAATTGTTATTATAAATATATGGGTAATATAGTTTTGTAGTGTATTTTTCACATACTGCATCTAGGATGTTCTATTTCTATCTGATTATTACAAATGGTCTTCCAACAGCTGTTTCATTTAAAATCTTTGTAATTCTGATTAAATTAGGTAATCGTAACAAAGAGCTTTATAGGCTTTTTATGCATGTAATAAAGATAGCGCTTGAGTACATTCCACTACAGCAGGAATTACAATCCAAGTTTACGTTTTATTTGCGCCTAGAACGAACGATATTCACAAGATTATTTAGCACATCACTTTGACTAGGTTTTCAAAATATTCAATCACACAATTTTGACTTTGTCGGAGAGCGTTCTTACCGAAAGAAGTGTGGTTATCTCATGGATAACATTTAGAAATGTTTAATGTTGTAACGTTATGCGCATCTGTTCTATTTTAAATGGCCTTAGATAATGGCGTTGGGGCTCACTTGCTAGTATGTGATCAGCGTCGCCCATGGATATCAGCAAGGCAAGAGCTTTGAAGTCGTCGTGGTCTAACGGATAAGACGTCCAGTGCATTCGTGTTGAGCGATGCACCGGTGTTCGAATCTCAAGCGGGTACCAATTTTTCTAATGAAATACGTACTAAACAAATGTTCACGATTGACTTCCACGTGAAGGACTAACAACGTGTAATAATGCGTAAGTAATGCGTTTCGGTTTGAAGGGTGGGGCAGCCGTTGTAACTAAACTTGAGACCTTAGAACTTATATCTCGAGGTGGGTGGCGCATTTACGTTGTGGATGTCCATGGGCTCCAGTAACCACTTAACACCACGTGGGCTGTGAGGTCGTCCACCCATCTAAGCAATAAAAAAAATCACTACCTACATATATTTTTACTTAGTTTATTGTTGGACGAGCTCATGGCCCACATGATGTTAAGTGGATACGCTGGAGGCCATAGATATAAGCATGTGATTGCCACCACCCATCATGAGACATGAGGTCCATGTCTCAATTGTGTTTTATAAAGACAATCCCACCCTTCGAACCGTACCACTGACTGCTTTACGGCAAAAATGTCCAGGTTGGTGCTATGTATTCGCGCAATACATTCTACTAGTACGTTAAGCAAATTTATATTATACTATATATATTATTATTATTATTTGTTAATTCCTAAATCGTGGAAGTCGCTAATGGAAATGTAGGACCCCAAACGCTGATCTATGTATATAAAAGAAAGTCGTGTTAGTTACACTATTTATAACTCAAGAACGACTGAACTGATTTGGCTGAAAATTGGTGAGGAGGTAGCTTAGAACCAGGAGAAGGACATAGGATACTTTTTATCACATTCCCGTGGGACTTGACATAAAACGTGGTAACTATAACAAAACGCAACTGACAGTTAAAAATATTCTGTGGTTAATTGTGTTAATTATAGTAGAATTTTGAAGTTGACTGGTTGATGTGTTTGAAACAAACCGTGTGGCGGAACAAAGTTCGCCGGGCTTGCTAGTTGTAGATATAAATAGTGACGCTGCTTTCTTTGGTCGATTTTTTATTACCTTTGTATTTACCCTGAGGAGCAAGCGGTTCAGCTCGTCGGCGCCGACGATAAGTTCTCGTCCCGACTATAATTTCAGGCATACTGAAACGATGATCTCATGTCAGGATTTTATATGTATCAATGAGCAATATAGATATCGTCCCTGAAGTGGTCAGTCTATTTATCCACGACTTGTTTTTTCCTCAATAACGATGACTTGTCGTTAGATAAGATTGGAAAAGCTTTATAAAGCTCGAAACCAGTCTCCAGGCATTCATAAAAAATGCCAAAAAATAGTAAGCCGGTAGTCAGCGGCTTGGCTTTGCTCATGGCATTGCTGATCTTTGTGATTAGCGGTGGTAATTCAGCGTTAGATGGCCCATTTGGTCAAACGCAACAGAAGTAACTAAAAACTGTGGTTGTTCTAGTTAAGTTTACCTCACTAATCGACAATATCGTGTTTGGTTTACCAAGTTGAGCGTTTGCGTGACACTTGGTGTCACATTATAGCTACAGTTAACCTTGACCACACAGTTAACTATCTAGCAAAGCCTTTTTGTGTCACGTACCTATAGTAAAAGGTTTAATGAAATAATCTTCCATAATTATATTGTGATTGACTCAATTGGTTTTGGCCTACACCAGTGGTGTAACCTCAACCAAAAAAACCAAATATACATAACACACAATTGAAATTTATTCAAAGAGACAATTTTTTTTCAACATATACTTTTATAGCCTTGTGTTTCAAAAATGTTTACTCTTCTCTAAAAAGGCAAGATAGTTAGTATGTAAATTTCCGTGCCTGTATTGAATATTTCGCCGAAGAGCCGTATCCGAAGAGTCAAACAGCCGCATGGCGCTCGCAAGCCGCGGGTTGCCGATCGCTGCCCTACACTGACTAAGAGGTAAGAGACTATTACAGGCTAAATAAATAACCATTATCCAGACAACGAAATTGTTAAATAAAAGTGTTCAAATTTATAATAAATAATAATCAGATGAACAGCGCATTAAATGGATTTTTATATGCCACAAGATGCGACAAATAACTTTCAATATCTCTTAAAAAAGTGTACCTACTTGCTACCAACTGTAGGCCGTGTTAAAAGACCGTATATGTAGGCAAACGCTGTCGCTGTCATGAAATCACATGCATTCCTGTTTCCAGGATGGAACTAACGGACTCATTCATGTCTCAAGATGAGTGGCGGTATACACATCATGATATTTATGGGTTACGTTACTCACGTAAAGTTAAGTGGGCCATGAGTACATTCACTCGTTTGTAAATCTGACCTTTGAACCAATAGATCGATACAATTTTTTGCAAAGTTAGCTTTTATTCTTTAATTTATGAGCTGAAAAGTGAATGATGAAGGCCACTTTTCATTCCGAACAAATGGTTCGTGAGGCATAGTTTTGGAATTAAAAATATAAGACTGTAACCACGCTATTGACTTCTTTTATGTATAATAATTAGTTAAAAAAAAAACACATATATACATATTATAAACATAAGTTTTTCTTTGTGTTTCATAGACAATTTTTTATTTTAGATAAATAAAACTTCTCGGGATACCTGTTATAAGCTGTTGTAAGCTACAGCTGTGGCTAAGATATATTGGAAAATATTTAACAAAAACCTGAAACGCTCTAACAACATTTTTAAAACAAGTTAGCATATTATGTACATAAGGTTTAAACTTATTGTTCGGATCGTCAGTCAATCGAGCAATAACACAATGTTTGTGGAAGATCTTCCCTTTGTAGTTTTTCACCAATAAATTATAGCTTAATTTAGACTTTAACTAAACTCGTTAAGGTCTCATGACATTGACATTTAGGTGAAGTAGAAATGTTAGGAGTTTTAGAATTGGTTTTAAGATCACTCTCTTCAATCGAAACTTTACACATTGCTTGTTCAATTTATCGTGGTGCGGGAAGATCGACATCGTAAAAGAAAGCGCCAAAACAGGACCACCCTCAAACTCTTTTTTTAAGGCAGACGACAAGGGACTAAAATATTTGAGACTAATCACAGTTACTGCTAAAACAAAGAGTGTTCCACGAAGTGCATACTCACTTCCGCCAACGGCTTCATATTTTAAGGCCCCCAAGGCAAATGTGGATGATGATTTGCTTGGAACTACAAATATTTCTTATTCAACGCACAGTCGTCGTTTATAATAATCCCGGAATGCTCTCAGTTTAGCTTATACTCATCTTCCCGAAGGACATTTAATTGAGGCAGTACAATTTTAGAAAGTTGTTTTATGGTTGGAAATTGAATATTGAGGCTTTCATGTAATAGCTATTTTGTAATTAATATTTTTACAATAATAATACCGTAATTTATTCCCGACGATACTCTTATTCACTAGATTAGAAAAATCTAAAGTTATGGGTTTGAACTTAAATAAAGTATCTAAAAGTCTCATTAACAACAGTAAATTCTTAAAATTGAATTTGCCGATTAATTAAATGTCATAGCTACCATCACCTAATAAAAGCCCTTTTAAATTTGTTAAACGTTGAAAGTCTGATTTCATTTTATTTATAAACTATTCATTCTTATTACAGTAATGTTACAATGGATATTAAATACGTTAATTGTTTTCAGTTTTACCGTTCACGGTCTACCCATGTCTGATAGCTCTATGACTTGAATAAGTAATGCTGGAGCCTTGTATTTATGATTGTGCTTTTCCTGTATTTGTTTTTCAGATAAAACGAATATGTTTAGTAGAAGTTGGCTATATTCCTAGCAGTGCCAATATTCATGAGAGGCTGTAACCAAAAATAACACGAATGTTCTAATATTTTATTTAAAAAAAAAGAATGTGAACTTCAGTCGCGATCATGACTTCAATCACAATTAGTTACCCCGCAATTAGATAGTTTTGGATCGAATGTGTACCTGTCTTGTGTGATCTTGCACAATTTTTGAACAATACGGGTCGGAATTTCCATTAACTACCTACATATTTGTTTGGGTTTCTGGGTATACGTAATGAGTTCCATTTTAAATTTAGACATCAATTGTAAAGAATAGAAAATAAATTGGTATCAATTCCTAACTGAAGAATAGTATTAAGATAAAGCAAGTACCTATAAGATATATTTATATTTTTTCACAGAGAAGGTTGCTGCTGAATTGTGTTTGTTCATGTCTAAGAAATGTGATAGGATAATAATATTTACAGAATAATATACACGCGTTCGATTGTATTTAGATAGGCATTTTAATTATGAACAGGGACTTTATTATTACAAAATTTGTAAACTATCTACTAATTGGTTAAATCTTTAAGCTGTTAAAATTATTAAAGTGGTGATCGTTAGTGATGTGTAAATTATTAAATAAATATTAATTTGTTTCTACGTATGTAAAACACTACGCATGAGTAGGATAAGAAATGAAATTGCAATAATAATGCAGATCATGTATTACCTATGACGTATAGCATCTTCATGTACACGAACACGCCTTGCCGATTTCATTTTCACCTAAACATGTTACGCCAATGAATATGTGTGTTAGGTTTCACAATAACGATAAACATTTCAGAGTTATGTTAGTTATATCAGTTACGAAGGGCCGAATATTTATGTGCGAAAAAACGAAAAAGTTACGAATTTTCGATATCGTTCGTTGTTTATTTCGTTTTGTTGCAGACACAAAGACACGGTCTCGCTCTACTGTGAATTTATGTGGCAATTTAAAAAATGTGTAGACCGTACAAAACACACGCCTCGGCTGTCGACTGTTGTTGTTGATGTTGATGAATACTCAGCTCTCTGTTAGCACTCTGACCTTTTTCACTCCTAGGGTTGTTTACTCCCTTTTTAAAGGTTTACCTAACTGCTGCAAAAATAATAAAGAACTACGAATTTAGTAGTAGTAGTGTATGGTGAGTTTCTACACATATGAGTTGTACACATTTGTTCCTTAAGAGATTCTAAGCTGATTTTCTTATTTTGGAAAATAAGGTGTTTATCCGATAAGTTTTAACACTCCGTGTGTCGATTTTATGATATTTCAACAAATCAAAGATAAATAAATTTCCTAAGCTTTTTGTTATCTACTTTTTTATTTTTGCACATAAAAAACTTTTTAAACAATAATTAAATTTTCATTAAATTATTTTAAATTATTTATCCTAAATAAAATTTCAGCTAAAAATCGTAAAATGTTCATGAACCAATTTATAGTGAATTGTAACCGCGGCGGCGCACAGTTTTGATGCCGTCATATTTTAATCACGTAATGTAATGCGAAAAATCTGTTTAACCCACGTTACCTACGTTTAATGTTGAACTATCGATCCAAATATAGAAAGGGTATTTGAAACGCCATTAACCGAAGTCATCGTTAGCAATTATATACAAAGGCACAAAGAACAATACAATATCGAACAAGCGTGCTATATATTTAATTCATTATCGGTCAGTTATAATGTTTTCAAATCTATAATTCATTATCACAACGTAACTGTTCTGACTCTAAAACTGACGTCGTGCAAAATCGAAACACAAGACATTACTTACGTACCTTAAAATTCACAGCCAATCTAAACAACTGAAAACTGACATCCATAAATATTTACATTCCGGTAGACGTGAGCTGTATAATCGCATGTGTTATGTTGTTGGAGGATGAGAGGACAGCGTGGTAGTGTGGTGGCGGCGCGTAGTCGGCGGGCACCGGCGAGCTCGCGGCACGTGGGGCGCGACTCCGGTGCGCCGGCATAATACCCGCCGATAAAAATCACGGCGCGACTGCAAGGCGGCGGCCGAGCGCACGGATCGCGAGCGCCGACTGACGCACCCGCCACCAGCCCGCCATCAGCGCCACCGCCCAGCACCCGGCCGCCCACTGCCCACCCGCGCTCCTCTAATTCTAATTGTTGACCACCTCTGACAATTCAGGTCATCGTACCTGCATGCGAATTTCTCCCCTTAACGCCAAACGGGCCGAATTTGCATATTTAATATAGTGATTCAACTCATGCCGAGATTAGGTACATACCTACACTTTCATAAAAAGTTATTAGCGAATAGCTTAGAAAATTGGATCCTTTCTTTTCCTTTATTTAAAGAAAGAATGGAATCCTGAGATTGTAACGATTGAATCTTTGTTCAGAATCTCAACAAAACTCGTTGAATACTTAGTATGTTCGTGTCACACGCCGTCACTGAAATTGCAAATGCGATATGCGACAAAGCAACCCTCGCGAGATGCAGCTGTCTAGGATTATTCGGTAGTTGCTATTTGAATATCAATTTATGTGACAAGATTATTTTGTTACATTAAGCATTTATTTGTCTTCGAAATCAAAACTCAATCTGATTTCACATTAGTGCAATTCTAACTATGCACATTTTCACAAAAATTTAATAGTTTTAATAGAGAGGAATCTCGAAAGTTTGTTTAAAATGTCATAATACACCAGGTTAATTTAATTTATCACCTTTTTTCCCTTCCACTGGTAGCCTAAGTCGCTAATCCAGCTACGCGCGGACAGGTAGTGATCTCGCGGCTTCCAAACTGAGATAATTTGTTAACACTAGCCCTAGCAAGAGCAGTGCTTCGTGGAATCTACGACCGCATTGGAATCGTGACCCACTGAGAAGATACGGCTAGAAACTCAGTGAGTTGTTTATGGGTTAATTGTCATCCTTGTTTACGCTACAACCACGTCGGCTCCCCCAGATACGGCGAATTCTCTCTCTCTGATCCTAGACGCTTGGGTCAGTTGAGGATCTTGCTATTTTTGAAGCCAATTGTACTTTACTTTCAAAGTGATTAAAATATAGAACACTACTCTAAATTTCACAAGAATTCTAATAGTCTCTCTAGTCTAGCATTACTAGTAGTAACATCTTCTCTTCTATTTTGTTAACACCGGCTCTGCAGTAATGAGACAAGCATTTTTTTAGTATTCGCGAGACAAATAATTAATTTTAGTTGACGAGCACTGTTGAATTTAAATAGTACCGTCCCTGAATTAAAAATTTCAGATTCCTTACTACGCAGATTTGGGTATTCATCAAATTTCACCAAAAGTCGTCGTGGTGTGAAGGATAAGACACCCGATGTACTCGAATCGAACGATGCGAATAACGATGCTCAAATGCGGAGGCAGGTACCACTTTTTTCATAGTACCTACTTAATACATACTTACTGGTGGTAGGACCTCTTGTGAGTCCTCGCGGGTAGGTACCACCACCCTGCCTGTTTCTGCCTTGAAGCAATAATGCCTTTCGGTTTGAAGGGCGGGGCAGCCGTTGTAACTACCTAGTCTTGACATAAATACTGAGACAAAGGAAAAAAATATCTATTGCAAATAACATTTATTACTTTTACAGTGTGTTAGTTTAATACATAAATATAAAACAATTTAAAGTATAAAAAGCTTATTCGAAGTGGTCTCCATTGGCTGCAATACAGTCCTTTAAACGTTGAAGCCAGTTATCAATAGAAGCACGCACTCTTTCCATGGGAAAAATGTTCACTGCCAATCGTACGGATTGTTTTAGGGACTCCAAATTATCATGGCGTTTAGAGCAAACCGTACTATCTAAAACTGACCATAAATCATAATCCAGCAGATTAAGAACGGGACTAGACGACGGCCAGTCTTCAGCTATGATGAAGTCCAAAACGTTCGTTTCCAACCAAGACTGCGTAGACCGAGCTTTATGACCTGGCGCCGAGTCTTGCTGGAAGGACCATTCTTGATTATTGAACATTGTGTTGTTAAGGGGCTTCACTGCCTTCTCAAGAAAGGTATCTTGATACACTTGTGCCGATGTTTTGATACCTTTTTCACAAAAGTATGGCTCAGTCACTCCTTCATAGCTAATACCCCACCAAACCATCACTGAAGTCGGATAGTGCCCACGTTGCACTCTGTCGACTAATTGGGAAGCTCCCTTAGAGCTTTGAGCATAAATACGGTCATTTTGTTTGTTAACATGTTGCTCAATTGTAAAAAATTTCTTATCCGTAAACAAAAAATTTCTATGACCTCCCTTTGCATACCACTTCAGTAGTTGTTTTGATTTTACCACACTATTTTCTTTTAAATTATCAGTTAAGAAATGACCAGTACGTCTCTTATAGGCTGCAAGTCATCTTTTAAAATACGCGACATGGTTCTAGAATCTAGGTGCTATCTTCATCTCCCGAGATAAAATCTTTTGCTTTCGGACAGGATTTCTTCGAATTCTTTCCCTTACTGCTTTATCACCTTTTTCATACGAACACTACGTGAACAGCCAGATCTTTTTCTATCCCAAAGACAGGAGGTCTCATTGCACCTATTAATAGCCCGGTACACAAACATTTTACTAATACCAAGCGTATAGAGTTTTAAAAATTGCATTTGGCTCCATACCTACTTTGTGTAATGCAATCACAGCGATTCGGTTCTCTTTATCACCCCACTCCATTTTAATACCGCAAAATATTGTACAATGTATTGGCGCCAAAATGAGAAAACTCAATGAGCAATCATATAAAAATGACAGATTCCAAATTCAAATGTAATATTTTGTTTATTTTTAAATGTAACAGTATTTATGGCCAGACAAGTATACTGGGACCTTAGAACTGATATCTCAAGGTGGGTGGCGCATTTACTTCGTAGATGTCTATGGGCTCCAGTAACCACCTAACACCAGGTGGGCTGTGAGCTCGTCCACCCATCTAAGCAATAAAAAAAGGTGTTCATTAAAGACTTCCGCGTTAAAAAAATAACACAACTAATTCATACTTCTAGGCAATATAAGAAAGTCGTGTAATTTGTAAGCATGATCACGATCCTCTATAAGAAAAACTAAAATGCATAAATTATAATGCATAATTACCATTCTATGTAATCTAAAACCACTAATAGTTGTTAGCACATTTCGGATGCCTAGTAATAACTTTAAATAATGGTGCAGTAACTGTTTCATTTGAGTGGTACTAATTTACGGTTTAAATTTGTAAACAATGAGGCGCACATGAGTGATTTGATTACGTTACCTCCTACGCATACTCGGTACTCGTACCTATTAGAAAATCTGTTAGCAATGGTAACACTCTAACAATCGTCTAGTTACACAAAATTTATTATATCAACTATGGTTTCTAGCTATGACTTCGTCTGCATAACAAGACACATTACTAAAACACCTACATACCTACTACTGCTCACTTCAATATTACATCATAGACCAAAACAGTTTTAATTATTTCAAATGCTAGTTGCTACCTTACTCTATATTTATTTACACATAATTTGCACTGTAGTAATAGTAATTTTCCAGAAGTGTTCTGGAAAATACCTATAATTGCACCACCCGCCACCGATTCAGAGTTCATGCATACTATCTGGAAACACCACGTCCGTTTTCAGAGAATTTTTTTTCACAGTCGTTCCGGCTTGAAATGATCTCCTCACCACGGTGCTATCTTTGTGCTATGAGGTATCCTTCTTCAAACGACGATTCCTACTCTCTTTCACCCCTATCAAGCAATGTGAAGTGAATACGATGCAGGTGCCCGATCCATTAACGGTGCTTTTAGGCACTACAAGCACCGGTTACCGTCCTCGTCGAACCCATCGCTTGTGACGAAGAGCTCGGCGAGTAAATTAACCCACAGACACACCCCACAGAGTTTCTCGCCGGATCTTCTCAGTGGGTCGCGTTTCCGATCCGGTGGTAGATTCTGCGAAGCACGGCTCTTGTTAGAGTTCGTGTTAGCAACGTCGTCAGGTTTGAGCCCCTTAGCTCACCTACTAGCTCGGCGAATCTAGAATAACCCCTCGAGGTTACTAGAATAGGCAGGAAACAAACATAAAAAAGCACCCACCATTTAACTTTACTTACTTAACCCATATAAAAAATATTTAGATCAGGCCCTGGAACAGGGTGATGTGATGATTTGCGAAAGGTTGTCGCTAAGATATGGATGAAGAGCAGATCGGGCTCAATGGTAAATTTGGAGAGGTCTAAGTCCAGCAGTAAACGACCGGGGATGATAATGAGATCACGGGCGAAAAAGGTTAACTTTAGTGTCTAAAGATACTTAAATCTATCTATCCACATAGGCACAGTGCACCACCTCGCAGAAGGAGGCGGCGGGGCGCGTGAGAGACGCGCAAGCCCGCCGCCGTCGAGCGGGGGCCAGGGAGGCGGATCTCGCCCAAGCCCTGGCCCTCTAAGTGTTTCGGGTCCCCTTCACATGTCGGCCTGGGGACCAGCGAAGGGGGCCTAAGAAGACAACGTGCAAGCTACTCTGCACGCGTTTTACGCAAGAACATCCGGGTGATGGAAGGCCGGCTATCCTCGACCCACGCTGGTTCTGACCCAGCGGGGTATTCCGTAGGATAGCCCATTCTAACCGGCGCCATCTAGGCGGGCTCCGGATAGCCTGCCGACCGAGAGGGCTGGTGGTCGTGGCGCCGACGACCGCCGGTCTAGCGTCCGAGGGGGAGGGTGATGGGAGAGATGTGCTCCACACTAAGCGCTTCACTTTCCCCCCTTTGCCTTTTCATGGGTTCTGTCTCATGCGAGGTTCGGACGCGGGTTGTTGAGCGACAGGAGGTTTTAATCAGTTCGACTCTGACATGCCCCACCCTCCATCCCCAGGGGAGGGCGGAAGTCCGGCGATTTCATCCTGACCAAAAAAAAAACCACATAGGCACAATGGAGGCGTAACAGGAGTAACAGGAATTACTTTTTTAACAGACACATTCACCTAATTTGTTAAATGTTAACATTAAAAGCCCCTAAAGATCATGTATTTTGCTATGGGGCAATGCGGCCGATGCAGAAATGATATTTATTCTGCAGAAAAGAGCTATACGTGCTATTTATAACATGCACTCAAGGGAATCCCTGAGGGAAAATTTAAAGTAATTAAAGTTCTCACTATGCCATCCCAGTACATTTTTGAAAATTTGATGTATGTTCGTAAAAATATTGAGGAGTTTCCTAAAAAGTCGGACATACATAATAGAAATACTAGGAACAAACACAAGCTTGTTGTGCCGATGAGTATGTTACATAAGATACGAAATTCATTCGGGTGTTTGTCTATACGCCTGTACAACAAAATCCTACAAGATGTTCAGAACCTACGTGTATGGTATAGGTTTAAGAAAACTATTAAAGAACATCTGTGCAATAAAGCTCACTATTATCTATAAGCTAAAGATTATCTAGAAGATTGCACAAAGTGGGAATGAGTTTCTCGCTCCGAGCATTTCAATGTTGTAATGATTGTTATATATATATATATATATATAAAAAAAAGACATGTCCGCTGAGTTTCTTGCCAATTCTTCTCAGGACGGAGGCTAGTTTTTGTGAATTGGCGGTAGTTCTTTTGACGTTCAACAAGTATGTACTTTCATTTATGTTGAATAAAAAAAATTTGATTTCATTTGATTTGTAGGTACTTTCTCACTAAGTCAGACCAGAATCTATTTCTGTCCATTGAGTCATTTCTAAGGCTTTGCAATAATTTTTTGCAAGATTTCATGCATTAAAATCGTATAGGACTAATGAGTAAAAAAACAGCGAGTAGCAATCAACACATTAAAATCTGTAGAAGACGTCGATAACTAGGTTCAGATACATAAAACAGACTGTTTCTTTGGACGTCTGGTGGACAAAGCCCTAAAAATCTGAGGTCTGGGGTTGGGAGAACAATATGACTTCAAACTTATCTTACTTCTATACAGCCCAAAGTTAAGTTTTGAAAGCAACACAGCGTCATATTCGACTGGTCCAGGGTTCGTCTAGACTCTAGATGCTAAAAATATTGTTCGACACAATATCCTCTAAATTTCCCTCGTAGGATACGAGGGGTGGGTCTATCGCCTCCTTCGGTGTCCCGGGGAGATAATCGGGCTCAATGTCCTTTATCTAGAAGATCAGCCCAGGATGTCTTAAAATAAGCATTTTAAGACATCCTAAAAAAATCGAAAAACGCCGCTGAGGTGCGTACAAATAAATTTAAAACATAATTAGCGTTAACAAGCCCTTCTGGGGCGTGTGCTCAAAGCAAATAAATTTGACATAGCTCTAATTTAGAAACTATATTTACATAAGGGGAAATTTAGAGGACTAAAGTACTCCCTAGATCGTTACACATTATTACTGTAATGGGACAATTTATCATAACTGTTCGGACAGTAATAAGATTTTGTTCATTTGTGATAAAAATAGCATCGATACCGTCCTTTTATCTCCTGACTGAAACAGGGACCTAGCATCTGTCGAGGTCGTCTTAAAAGAGAAGGCAAAAGAACGAATTTCTGCAGTACCTATTCAGGAATCTAGTAAATCACAGCGGATAACAAAACTTAAGACATATTTATTCGCTACGACGCAATTTCCTATCATATATCATGTAGAAATTTAAAATCTCGACCAAATATAAGGAGGCTAAACGGAAAGCTAAAAGGAAATCGCGTTTTAAGTTTTATTTCAAACATGGTGATAGAATGAGTATACTAAGACGATGCCTACAGGGTGGGATTGTTCCATCACTACTTTGTTGCCTTGTTGCCAACTCTCTCACTCTGAGGTTGAATGGTCCATAGCTACTGAGAGGTATGCTGACTATTTAGTGATAATGGTACCTGGAAGATAACCCATTTCTCTCAATAAAAAATATGTAAAACGTGCAAATTCCGCTTAAAAATTGATTGTTTCAAAAAAAAATAACGCTATTTATTGCGAATTGTTTTAAACTTTCGTGACTATCTACATTACGCACACTATTATTTACCATAGTTTCTTACCACGATTTTCAGTTTTAATGAGTTCCCGATATTTCGGCGCTGTTGCAAGCAGTATGATCACAGATAAACTGGTAGTCTGACGGCTGACCCGTGATCGTGATGAAGGGTAGGTACTCATCAAAAGTGAAAACCGTGGTAAGGACCCGTTAAATAATTAATACCGTTAGCCAAACATCTTGAAAACAGCCTCATTTAAGATTGTGCAGATGTTCTATTACTGTGTTTATCCATGAAGTGATGGAAGAAGGCAAGATTTAATAAAACAACTTAGTTGTGTAAAATGTAAACTTTATTTCAGCTTTACCAGTTCAATAAACACGCGTATTACTGTCATATTCGACACGCACATAACTGATTTATGACCGGCTTATTCGTAAACATCGTTTACTTAATCACCTGTTACACAACGACAATGGCATGTGGTGATTAAGCTATAAAACCCAAGTTTGTCGTTTTACAGTTAAATGGATTCCTATAAGGAATTATCTCACATTAACTGTTATTGACCTTTGTGAGTTAGGCCTTTACAAAACTACAAACATATATAATGACAAGGTGTGAGGGAACAGCTCCGGGCCACAGATGGGATGCAAGCGATTCTTAACACTACAACACAAAAAAATTGATTCGAAAAACTTTATATCATTCTTGTTTTTTTTCATTCGCTCTAAGATATCTTTGTATTAATTTTTTATTTATATAAGGGCAGCGGCTTGAATATGCGCCAGGCATTGCTGACGTCCATTCCACAATGACAACTTCGAATAGTACTAGCCATATGCTCGTTTACCTTTTAAAAAACTAAACTAAATAAAATCTTTCATATTATTGTAACACTTTTGTAATACCAATCACAACACATTAGGTATATATCCTATAGTTTACTTACATTATGGGGACCCGTCTGCAATCATCAACATTCTATGATTGGCTCAACGCGATTACCAAGAACGCATTGGTTCTATATTGTGCAGTATTTACAATAATTATACTTTTTAATTAGATAAGTTTTTTTTTCTTCATTTATGTTAAGAAACAAGTAATTTAAACCGGTTCAACTTCAAGAGCCGTTTCCTTACACCCTGTCTAAAAGTTCGACAAAATATCGTTAGACAATAACAGAGCTCATATAATATATACAAGTTACAATAAGTTGGTACTGTAAAACATTTACAGAGATTTGCAATTGCAGTATTAACACAAGAGAAAAAGGTATGCGATCCCAACCCTACCATTGATTACGACACAATCTAGTACTTTAGATCTTTCGTTCTAAGTCACCTCAGATTATTGACTAGCTTAACTATTGACAATGATTCAAATTTATACAGGTTTAGGTATCATCAGCAATATTTTTTCAAGATAAGACGTTTTCCTCTTCAAGTGACTATATTCTATATCAAATCAGACAAATAGGATATTTCATCATTGTTTCATTGAGAAAATATTGTAAATGATAGTTGCTAAAGCTGGTCTTAAGGACCACTATTGAGATAAATAATAATTTTATGCTTTTACCTTGCCGTATAATCCTCTGTAATCTAGACTATAAGTTATTGCTCAATTATTTTAATAAAATCGGTAGAACGGGAGCTCTCATTTTCTGCATTAAAAATCCAAAGCCATGTTTTTGTATAAATATTTCGGGATGATAATTTCATTACATGAAATAAATTAATGTAAAGAGTCAGAGCAAAATTAACAATAAAGTTTATTTATCTGTGCATTCATAAATGAAGAATAGTCCCGGAAATATGTTTTCAATATTATTTATGTTCAGCCTCTGGCCAGATTTGAACCTTTGCACTAGTAAATAAATGTTTTGATGAAGTTTAACGATATTCTGCCATTTTCTATATGTTGACTATTAAAACTAAACAATGATACAATTATAATAATTTTTAAGCTTTTATCCTCCTTTCTTCCACTTTTCGCCAGGTGTATACTCAGTCATTGGTTTACCTGATATACCACAAGTACCAATCCCTACTCTCCCTGTCAGATTATCAGGAGAAGCAAATATACTTTTTGTTCTGACACCAGGTTTTTTAGAAGCCTTAGTATGAAATGATAACCACTTATTCTTCTCAGATTCTCGTTCTTCTTCAATCTGTTTGAATCTTTGTTGTTTCTTCTGCTTTTTTTTCTTTAAATACTCTCTGTTATACCCTTTGCCATGTCTGGAAAGAAAAACATTATATTAGTGAATTTAAATTCCATCTGTTTTTTTTTAAAGTGGAGTTCTCCTTCACTAGACTTTCAGTGGATGTTATCTTTTATGCTCTTATTGTAATAAGTTGGGGAAAAAGCACACAAAAGATATCAGATACAGATATGACCCCAGACTCAGTGAACTACTTGTACTATCTTTATCTTTATTTCCTACCTATGTTCCTAATTCATATGGATCATTCCTATCTTATATATACTAGTGGTAAGGTCAATGTTTATATTTAATTATGAGTCGACTATTATCAAAGCCGGCAATGTGACTTTTGGACAATTATTGGTAAATCAGAAAAACGAATTATTGACTTTGTATTCCATTGGCAGTCACAAAACTCTTCTGAACGACGTCTTAGATAAATAACAGGTTAATACTTAACCTTTATTTAATGCAGGTTTTGAACCGTATTCTTTGAAGGAGACGATTATATTCAAATCAATCTGTATTGACATATCAATAACAATTTTTTGTCCAAATGCACAGATTGCCACCTTTGATAATAGACGACTCTTATGTGATTTCTATGGGCTCCAGTAAGCACTAAATATAAAGTGGAAAAACATCAATTAATGTATTTCTTTCTACAATTTACAACAATACTATTAGAATTAAATAAAAAAATTAATCATACAATAAGTCTGAAACAAATATTGCAATTTAATCATTTTCCACAACAATAACAATATTAATTGAAATTACGGTTTAATCTCACATTTAATATTTTCATTTCATCTCTGATTCTGTTGTTTCTTAATACTTTACAGATTTTTTGATCATGAAAATAGTAATTACAAGATTATACTGTAAAAGTTGCTTTAAATATGTTTTGAACATGCAAAAATGACAAAATGATGTAGATAAAAGTATTATTTCAGTGCTTGCTTGGTACATTACAGCATCAGGGAAAATAAAACATGGTACGGAACACAAAGAATACTAAGAAGGCTGCTGCGAATAAATTTTACACAATTACAAGTAAATTCAAAATTTATCCATTTTCATTTTTATTTATCCATTCCATTTTTATTTCAGGTTAAATCATACCAATGACTCATCACAAAGCATATCATCAAGTTAAAATTGTCATTCTCAATTAGAATAATGTAAATCACAATAACTCTGATTTTAAACAAATTTTGTAACCAGTGTTTACTGCCAATGCAAAAATGCAATTGTTATTAAAGAATTAATTCTAACCTATCTAACATTATTCATGAACTGAATGTTTTTAAAATAACTTTTTTTTACTCGGTAAACACAACGATTGAGACTTGACAAGAATCACATTATATCTAAAGACAGTAAAACTCACTGCACAGCTATACAACATGGACCACATGATACAGTAGTCATGAGATTCAAATGGAATATTAACGATATACAGTCAAAATCTGTTATAACGACATTGAAGGGACTGCTCATATTCAGTCGTAAAAACCGATAGTCGTAACAACCGGTGATGCTTAATGTGTATCGTGCAAGTATAAACAAATCGATAGGGAATTATTGGAAAAATATATTTACATGATACGCGATTTTTCTTCAATATTAATTTGTTTTCTTTTTCTTTGCGACATTTTGAAAGTTTCACGAATAACTCCACAAAGTTTTGGTGCGTCTTGTGTATAGATAAGTAACAAACTAACTGAAGAGATATGAAGAAGTGGGCTTTGACTACCGCATGCACGTGTTTTGTTTCTAAGAATTAGAAAAGACCCTACACTAAACTAAATCCTATTGTTTTCTTTCCTGATTTTAAAAGCCATTGAAGACAAATGTGGATACCTATTCAAATTGTTTACAATACAGCTTAGCCGGTCGCTCTAACAGATCTAATTCTCCGAAATATTAGTTAAATGTGGTCGTTTTATGAGGTATGTCGTTATTACCAATGTCGTAGAAAGCAATATTTTTAATAAGGCGGTCATATGGCATTCAGCCGGGACCTTTGTTCTAGGTTATTATAACCGGCATGTTGTTCTAAACGATGTCGCAGTAAGCGGTTTTGACTGTATATATATAAATATAATTGAAGTATTTAATATTATAATTATATTAAGTACATTGTAAGTATTTTTGTTATTTGATGATAGTTGTATTTCAAGGGTCAATTTGGTATTCATTATAATGTATCTCATGAAATATAAAACAAGGACATTTATTTCTACTTACTTGCTTTCATCAGTACTGTGTGGTCTTTTACTTCCTGAATTTAAAGGCTTTATATCAGTCATTGAGACCACTTCCAAGGTTGTGTATCCATCAAATTTTACTTTTAAATTGTCTTCTAGCACCTCCTCAATGAGAGCCTCATAAAACCTAGAATTTTAAGATCACTATAATATCGGTTTAATTGTCACATACAATATGTTTAAATTATAAGTACTGTAATGTAAAAAATGTACAGTAGTTCCAGAAATAAAGCATTTTTTAATTCTTACATTCCATCAGCTCTCCATTTTGCCAAACATTTTTCGCCAATAATCCATTTAGAATAGTGCCTAGTTGCAGGATCTCGTTCCTCTGCAGCCAACAGGGACGCTGTAACATCATCACTATTACTAGAACCATGAATATTAGAGACTTTTGAATCACCGTCTTGAGTCTTAATTAAATCTTGTGTCAATTCAATTACTTCTTCTAAATCAGCCTTTAACTTCAAAAGTTCTTCGTTATGTGGATCCGTTAATAACGCTGCCTCCACCTAAGAAAAATACCATCAAGAGTGAGTAAAATATTTGGTAAACAAAAATATTTTGGGTATAATGTATATTACCTACCTGTTGCAATTGTAAGGTATAATTTCGTAGATCGTCGGCCATAGTTATATATTAAATTCAATCAACCAGGCGACAAATGCTTAACTTGCTTGCTTGATAATTTATCGCTTCAACTTTTTACTGCTGTTGCTTCAATGCTTGTCATTGCTTGACATCAGACAAATCTGACAATCAGTGCTCTCAACTTTTTTTTATTTAAGGATTTTTATGACCTGGTAACTAACACTTTTAAGTCATGTCGTATTTTAATTTATATACTTATTTTTATGAAAAATGTTGGACGTTTAAAGTTGAGGGGATTGGGTTCTGTAGGTAATGAGGGGCTATTTAAAAACACACTGCTTCATTATAATTATATTGCAGATATTTTGAACACTGTTACACCATTATAAAATTATTATCTTTATATTTTTGTAAAACACTTACATGTTGCTTTGACCATATCTAGATTAGAAGTACTGACTTTTTCTTACGAGAAGACAATCATCTGTTTATTAAACATTTAAAATAATTCTAATATTCAAAATCTGTAATCATGTGTCAAGTGTTGCCTGCCATTACATTTATATTCAAACTCCAACTAAATGAGATAAACTCTCATTAAATTAACCTGTGTATAGCGTAAATTATGTTTAAATGTTTGACCTAAAGGTCTTTGTTACTAGATCATAAAATCCCTTAAAAAAATATTTAAATATCATATCTATGGCATAAACTTCTCGGGATCCTCCAAAAAGTCCACTGAAAAAATCTCAGTAAAGTGCCTTAAGTGTCTAAAGTGCCTTATTCACGATCCATCTTGCCGTACGTCCCGTCAAGGCCATGCACGATGCAAAACGATCATGAATAGGCTTGACGTACGTCGATAATTATTATTAATTGCGGCCTTGAGCTGACGTACAGCCGTGATGGATCGTGAATAAAGCGCTAAATGCATCGTGCATCGTGCATGGCCTTGGCGGGACGTACAGCAAGACGGATCGTGAATAAGGCACTTAAATGACCGCCATTTTACTGAGATCTCATTTCATTTCATGCCATGTTTCATAGATTAATCAACTTCAATTCATTTCATAGTATCATATTTCATAAAATAAGAAATACATATAAAAGATTACGCTGTGTGGTATGATACCTGTGCCTTTCCATTTGGAAAAATAAAACTACTACTAGCCCCGTGAGCTCACCTACTTCACCAGGTTTGAGCCCCGTGAGCTCACCTACTAAAGTTAGGGTTACGCTGACATAGCCCCTAGGGGGGTGAATGAAGTTAGCCCCTCAAAAAAAATTTTTTTTCCTCTTTTCTACTTATTTTCTATTAATTCGTTTGTTCATCATTTGTTCTTGATTGTTCATTGTTAATAATTGTTTGTTCCCCATTTATTTATTTTAAAAAAAATATTAAAAATATATCTAAAAGTTAGCCCCTCGATTGCAATTTTTAATATTTTTTCGTCCTTAATTACTCGTAAATATTCATTTTCGATTGTTCTTATATAAAATACGTTTGTTCTCTTTCGAAATTACTCATTTTTTGTTTAATTAATTGTATTAGTTGAATAAATGTATACAAAATATGTGTACTGCGCATGCCATAAGTGTATAATCTATGGCGCATGCGTCAACTATAATGCCTAAACTTTCTACGCGGTTTTAATCGTGAAAAAAAAACAATTATAAATCCTGAAGGATCAATTAATTGGTATACAGTTTAATTAAAAAAATTTAAAATAATGTGCATTCGCGTAAAGTTAGACCAAATACATTTTTTCCATCCTCCTATATACCTATCGCTATGAACGGTAGTAAACAAAAGACTAAGTTAAGAGTTCACATAGGTAATATAAACAAATAAGTAAATATGTTCATTATTTATCTTTCAAGAGATAATGTAGGTATACATTATAATAACATTTTGACACAGTCGAAAATAAATTCCTAACATTAGTAAAATAACATTTTAATAATTTTTTTA